ACTCCACAATGTCTCCAAAAACTGTCTATAGATGAGTTTCCTGTCAGTACATGTACATTTTGCAAACAAATCTTGCTTCAGCTGTACAAAGTAAAAGCAGATCTTTTGTGTAAGTAACCTTAGAAGACAAGACAAAAAGAAGCCTTTGTGTGCAAACAAAAAATAGAAAAACAAAATCCTTTAATTCCTTGCTGTGGACAGATATGCACATGCACAGATGGCTTAATGAATTAAAGAATAGTTTGAATTGTTAAAGAATCAGCATCTGTACTTTTAGATTTACAGTGCACTTCATAAAAATAAAAGTAGAAGCCAAAGAAGCTGCTGATTTTCCTTTTAAATGCAGCAGCACAAATATGTTTTAATGAAACTGAATCAACGAGAGCCTCATTGATTCACTGCAATGTGAAGATATAATTCATCTTGCCTACACACTTTTCCTTCTGCTGTAAGACTCCAAACCACAATCACTGTATGTATATTACGTAAGGTAAGGTACAGTCACCGTGATTCACAACCTCCTAGCTCATCACTCACCCCACATTTTGCTCTTTGTAAAGCACAGCTCTGTTTGACATTGAAAGAACTCCTGAAGTGAAAAGTGAAAGCAGCGAGCTCTCAACGCTTTGTGCTGACTTCATCAGACCGTTTGCCAACCCACAGAAAATGTCTCATTTCTACTTTCTGTAGAAACATGGCATTTAAGAGTTCAGCAGGTCAAGCAAGATGATGAATGGCCTCGGAGAAATAAAAACATTTTAAAGCAACGTAAGACATGATTTTCTTTGATGAGCTGCATGATCGCTGATGGCTGAAAAGTGATGAGTATTTTTTTCTTTCAGCTTTTCAGTCTTGCTTTCAGCTTCGACACCATTTACTTAGTCAACAGGAGTAGTGGAGTCACAACAGCCAGACACTCTAATAAACACTAATACATGTTTGGTGCACTTTTTACAGTCTGACTCCAGACTGCGACCAAATGGTCTAGAGATGCACTGATCCAGCATTTTCAGTTTCGATCCCGATCCTGATGCTGTGGCTTTGAGTATCAGCCGATACCCAATACCGATCCGATACCATGGTTGACCTAAAAAGCTATATACCTTTACATTTAGAACAGAAAAGACTAGAGGCATCAGGCATTGATGACTACACAGTTCTTTCCTAAGATCAAATGAAACAAGATGAAACAGATTAATGCAATGATGAACTATTTATTTTTAACAAAAATAAACAATTGTGCAACAGCAGTTGAAATAGTGTGAAATACCTCCACACAGCAGATTCTCTCCTTCGCTCTGTGACGTATGATGTAGCTCGCATCGCAATAGATTTAAAGGGAAAGGATCGCCTCAGTTATAGGTTGCATTTTCCGATACCCGATCCATCTATTTTGATGATATCGGGGCCGATATTCCCCGATCCAGATATTGGATCGGTGCATCCCTTAAATGGTTGTATTTTGCTACCATTTTTGGAGTCACTGTGAGTATTTTTTTACCACTACTCACTTGTGTGTGACCTGCAAACTTGCAGGCGTTTTTTTTTTTCCCCATGTTGAAAAACAAGGGAGGGACTAGCTGTGGTCGCGTCCAACGTCATATTCAAGGATGCCTAAACGAACTATTGTATAGGCGCGTTCCTCAGCCCACTGTCAAAGCCAGGCACTACACAGCGAAAAGTTGCTGAGGAAAACTCTGATATAGACACAGAAGAAGCCGTACAAAAAAAGCCCAATCTACACTTTAGACAGGAATGACGTAATGACATTACATGGCTCAGATCCAACCAAACAAATATAGAATGAAATGTGTGTTCTGCGCGAGTTATGGCCCCAAAGATTTTGGGAAAACGGAGTTCGTAGAAGCAACCGGTGCTACACAATTCAATCATGATACACTTATAAAAAAAACTGAAAACATAAAACCTCTCGAGACAGGTTTACAAATCAAACAGAATCCCCACTTCCAGCAGTTTTTAAAGTCCCATTTAAAACTTCATGTTTTTAGAGGTATACTTTGTAGGAATTGTCGCCTATTGATTGTAAACACTACACTGTTTGTATGCACACTCATTTCTACTATCTCAGGAACGTTACATTTGTTATAATGGAAAAGCTGATATGTAAGCAAGCTAACTAAGCTACCCACCAGCACCTACTTGTCCAACATGAAAAAGGCCACCTCTGCAGCACTCTTTATCTCCATCCTTTCCTTCAGTACTCGCCAGCAAAAATGAAAGCTAACCCCAGGTTCACTCTTATTTTGGACTGAGCTTTGTCTGCTTGGCATTTTGCCTTGCTGTATTTGTGTTAGCATGCACCAGAGCCTCCTCTTGGATGCGTGCTCCTACTACCTGGTTTCTATCTTTTTATAAAGTCCTGACCTCACCTGCATTGTTATTGGTTGGTGGCTACACGCCCATAAACGTCCCGACCTAGTGGATTATAAGTGATGATTGAGAGGGATTATGTTTGTACAGTACGAGTCTACATGTCGTTTTTTCTTTCTTTTTTTTTTTATCCTGCATAGTTTGCCTTTAACTACAGTTTTAAAGATGATGTATCTTTGTTTTTCTCTGAGGTCCACCTTGGATTAGCTATGTATTTTCTGAATTAATTTGTAACCCCAGTTGATCTAATCTTGTTTGAGATTTTTTCTGGATAACACGTGTTGTGTTTAAAAGCTCTGGAGCAAATTTAATCATATTACTCTCCTAATTGACAAGAACACCTGATGAAGCATGAGCAAAACCCATTGTTCACTGTTCCACTTGCAGAAAATGTTGTAAAGTTTATCAAGATATTTGAAGTTAATCCAGAGTGAAGTGTTGGTGTGCAGCAAGCTGTTTCTTAGTTTTTCCGTTTGTGTTGCCTGTTTCTTAGACCAGGCACTGTGCTACGATCCCAGCCTCAATAAAACCCTGTTTGAACAGGAAATGCATCACACTAAAGACATAACTAAACCATTTTTATGGGCCTTTAGTCTCCGTCTCCCACTATGGCTGGGCAGTTAAATGTGTTGATATGTTTGTCATGAGGATATCTCACATGCAGCTCTATAAAGACAAGTGGCACCAGAGATAAGATACATGTGTTTGTTTGGGTGACTCTGGTCTGAGTAGCTCACAGACACATACTGCACATAGTCCTTCACACTTTATGGCATTCACAGACACTTTTTACAGACACACACACAGGAGCGTCCAATGGCAGGAGTCCAATTGTCGTGTCTGGTTTGAGCTTTAATCAGATCGGCTTGAGGGAAGATTAATAGTTGATTGAATGAGGAAACAGTGTTTGTGTAATTGTAGCATTAGCATGTTAGCATTGCCATTGCACCCATGTTAGCATGCTGATGTTACCAGTTAGTTAAAAAGCACCACTGTTTTTTTTTTGTCCCCAATCCCGATCCAAGTGTCCCGAGTGCCAATCCGATACCTTTATTTTTCTTCGATAATACAGCTACACAGTGCAAGTATATTATATGTATAAGTATATTAAGTTATTCAATTCAAATGTACATGCTTGACAATTTAATAGCTCTGCAATGCATTTAGAAAAAAATCCCTGCATCTAAGCTGGTCCTTCCTTTGTTCGTTTATATATGTTTTTTTGTTTTTTTTGTTTTTTTTACAAAGTAAGTGTGAAATAACAAACCCTCTGTTTTGGCTTTATTGTCTCAAGCGAATTTCTCTGCCCCTTCAAGAGACAGTTCTCTTGTGTTTGTTACCTTGGTGCTGCCTTTGCGTGAGTTACCTTAATGAGTTTTATTTTCATTGTATGTACATCTTTTGCACAGATTAAGCTACAATAATGAATTACTCCTATTGGCTTTTGTTGAGCTTTTCAGTGGTGTGGTGAGTGTGGCTCTCGTCAAGTTCTGCACAGCTGTCTTATCTCTTCTCCGTCTGCGGTGAAACACCAGACGCTATAAATGCAAGACACTCTCACACTGATAGTTATGGTAAAAAACATAAACAGTCTCATACTGTGGTTTTGCTTTCGTTTATGGCGTGTGGTGTTTCACCTTGGGCGAGTCTCTGCATTTGCTCTTACACACACGGGAGCTCAGCGGAGCTGAGGAGAGAAAGACAGCAGGAGAGTTGGAGATGGCTGCACTCTGAGTGTCTGCTTGAAAGCTTTGCGGGTAGAAGCACCTGCGTAACAGCTGACATAAATCAAAGGATTGATCCTCTATATAGCTCAATATATTGTCCAGTTAAAAAAGGCATTGATTGGCCCAGATACCGACCTTTGAGATCCAATCAGGACATCTCTTGCCAGTATTAGCCTCATTTTATTAAATTTGATTGAAATGAGAAAATGTTTCATGTATGACACATGTCCTGCTCTTCATAATACCACCCCAAGACCACATAGTATCCACTGACCTCTACTTTTTACAGTGTTCCCATCTTGGTTACATTATATAGAAAATGTGTTAAGGTGATTTATGGTACAAAACCAGGTTAATGGATCTGTTCTCCAGCACAACTGGAACTGAAACTTTACTTTTCCAAGAAAATCTGGGAACAGTGGAAACAAAAAATCACATCCAACATAGTTTCCCTCAGTTTCTTTTATGGGAAATGTGTTTTTAATTTTGAGAAAGACTCGCACCAACAATTCCATGGGTGAGAGATAAAGGCTACCAGTTGTCTTGACCATTGTCTTTGCATTTTTGGGCTTTATGAGACATATAATTTTCAGGCAGACAGCTGGATTTGTGAGAGATTACCTGCAACATGTTGTTGCCAAACTATTTTAACAGTTGTATGTGAGGAAATTGACCAAAAGAAATAAAGTCATGCTTTGTTCCCAAACATTTTTTTCTTTCGATACCAATGTACTAGAACAAAATGGACTCCAAATGATGATGATGATGATGATAATGCTGCTGATGTTGTTAATGCTCACTGCCAAACCTTTTAGGCTTTAAAATAACTCCTAATCATCATACCTCCTCCTCTCCCAACTCTTTCTCTCTGTGTCTCTCTAGATGCCAGGCCTTTTGTCCAGTCCTGTGTGTCTGACAGTCATCTGGTTTTTATCTTGGTCGCTGCGTCCCAGCCGGGCTCAGATTCGGACTGATGAAGGTAACACATGCACATGTACGCATGCACACTAAGCAGAAAGACCTTTTCTCAAGGACATATTTAAAACACGCACGTAGCAGCACACATACAAACACACACTCTGTTAAGGATCAGGCATGGATTCTTTTGTGAACTATTTTGGGCACTCTTGACTTATCTTGACTCAAAGTACTTGTTGGATCTGAGGCTACTGCAGAAGAAAGGAAGGAAAGAAAGTAATCCAAAATGAAGAATAAAAACTGGACGCAGTGCAGTTGACTTTAAAACACTGACGCATTTTTCCAAGCAGAATCTTGATCAGAGATTTTCATGCTTCTCTCTTTGTCCAATTTTGGATCCGCATCTTTAGATTTTTTATATTTGAGTTGGAGTCATGTTTTTTTGGATCTCTGCAAACAAGAAATCTATTGTTGAAGCTTTTTTTTTTGCCTCACGCAGCACTGCAGGGATCTGTTTGGCATTAAGAAATTGGCTCCTCTTTCTTTTTTTTTCCTCCTTTGAAAGACTGTTCTCCCCTCTTTGTTTCGGTCTCTTTCTTCCTCTCTCCGTTACTGTATCTCTCTCTCTCAAATCAGCCAAATTAATCCCTCCAACAATAAGAACACTTGCCCTTGGCCCTTCAGGTGAAACTGTCAAAGTTTTCCCTTCCCATTAATTTTATCCTACAGCAGCCCCAGCGTGCTTTTTTTTATTGTTTGGAAAGTACTGAGTTTCATCCAGCTTGCAATTTCTGTGTCCACCCTGCCATCTGATTTCAATGTCAGGAGAAACTAGCAGCTTTCCTGTGCGAATTAGTCTGTGTGTGTGTGTGTGTGTGTGTGTGTGGTTTTATGTGTATTCGTGTGTGTATGCATGTGCGCATGTCTGGGCCCTCCTGCCAGAGGCAGAATCAGATATGAGTGGAACGCTGCGGGTTTGGGGAATAATGTACTTCACTGCCAATAAAACATGAATACACACATTCAGACCAGCCAACTCTTTGCAATGCACCAAGGCCCCAGGTAACACTCACACACACGCAGGAGCAGAGGGAGCCGAGCATGTGCGTATGTGTATTTTTGGTGGTTAAAGGGAAAAAGAAAATCTGGTCAAAACTGGCGCGAGAGTCATTGAATAAAAAGATTAAGATAGAGGGAAAGATTGACACAGATGGAGAATAAGAAAAGAGACACAGGAAGAGTTTAATATGATCTAAAGTAAATTTAATTAAGGGATGCTTTGACCCACTGTAGCTGCCAGAGTTTTTCTCTGGAGTAAGTTGGGTCAGAGTGTATTTATCTCTTTTATATCAAATTGCAATTTGAAAGTGCAAAACGCAAAAGCCACAATTTGATTTGCTGGTCAGCTGTGAATCATACACTTAATAGTGTCTTCTTAACAAAGTACAGAAATGAAATTTTGCCGGCTGTTATGACTAGTACTGGTTATCTTCAGAGTTTTTTTCTGATACCGGTGCCAAAATGATACTTCTAAAATGGCGCTGGTGCCTAAACAGTGCCTTAACTGATACAACGATATCACGTCAACGATGTGAAAGAACGACTTTTTGGTTTTATTTTATTCCAAAGGCAAATTTGAACGTGAACCTGAACAATATATGACAGTTCAACGTATACCGAAATATAAAAATATGAATTAATACAAACACAGTCCACCTGCCACCTGGGGTTGGTGGAATCCAAAATCTAAATAACCCTTGATTTGTCGGCAGGTGAGTGAAGCTAATCTAGCAACCACTAGCATATTTTACCAGCATTTGGTTGGTGGCTGCTGCTGATTTCCGAAACTGCCTAAACCAATGACAATTCATTCACTCAAGTTCTGTAACTGTCTCCTGTTCAGGAGTCACACTCTGGCACCAAAATGAGGCAATAAAATCTGTGTCATGATTCAGTCTGGTTGTAACCAGTCATGTGGGAACTGATGCCATATTGGCACTGGGTTTTGGAACCCAACCCTGATAGTGACAACTGTCAGGGTTGGGTATCGTTTAAAAAAATACGATACCAGTACCACTGCTGGTACCTATATAGTACTTCATGTGAGACCTTTTTTTCCCACTTCATTCGATACCCATCCTGTGAATGGAAGCGATCAGTTGTGTAAAATGGCCCCACCTTACAAACAACTCTGTGAAAAACACCGCCAGCAGCTTGTTTGGGTTGTAGCTGCTGCAGTAGTCGGCCAATCCCACATTGAATTCAGTCAAAGAAGTCGAAAGTCATTTGTATGGATCCAGTGTATCCTTAACATTTCATGGCAGAAGTTTCAATTCCTTTTGGTACTGTGTTATTTCAGCCAATACCTTAAAGGTATCAAGCACTGATACCTTGTCCTAGTTGCTGGTAAACTTCAGATGATTTTGTGATTTGGCAAATTTAAAACACTAAAATTCGAAGCTTTTTTTCTGGTTAACACGAGAGGAGTGAGGTGTGTCTCTTTGAACATTTAATGATCTAGGTGATCATCTCCTCATGTATATTTTAATATTACAGACTTGTGTCACGACTGTTTTCTCCACCGATCCCTCACCGACAGAGCCCCAGATAGCGCGGTGACGTCACCAAACTACGTTTTTTAACTTGGAGACGACACATTGTAAAGGCATGGATATTCTTCCCAGTGTTGAATCAGATCTGCCTCCAGGGCCTGGGTCCAAACACAACGCGCTCCCCGTGATCCTGTGGACGCCGCCATTGTTGTTGCTTGCCGGCTTGTCATCTTGGGAGAGAAACAAGCAACCAGGGCTATGGAAACAAGCCCAAAAGAAGCGACTATCAAGCGTTTAAAGAACTTATTAGACGGATATATATATAGAGGAAGGAAACAAGCCCAAAGTCGCGGCTAATAAGCGGACCTGGCAAGTGGCAACCCTGCGGCTTGTCCTCCTCACATTTCTTCCGTCCTCCTGTGTGCTGATGTGGGACGTATCCCGCCTCTCATTGGCTGATGCTCTTTGTCAGTCGTGTCGCACTTCTCCAGTTTTCTAGCATGTCAGATATCCAGTCCCAGTCACAGACGAGGGGGCGACTTGCTCGTAGGCTTGTTCGCACATGAGGACTCGTCGTGGCAGATAGAGATGTACAGATACCACTTTTTCCTTCCCGATACCGATTCCGATCCCTGAACCTTAGGTGTCTGCCGATATCGAGTACCGATCCGATACCAGCGCGTAAAATAAAAATGGATGGGATATGAATTGTTGTATGTCTCAACTCCTAAAAATAAATACATAACAGTAGAGTGAATGCCATAAAACTTTTTATTATTATTATTATCCAGTGTTGACACAGATCAAGACACAGGTTAAAGTGCAGCCACACATTTTGGTAAAAAAGACATTTTAAAGGCTACAGTAGAATGCTTTTTAAACTCTGCTCCGTTTCCATTTCATTTGCCTGTAGTGTGCATATGTGTAATGACGTGAGGCATTACGTGGTATCGGATTGGTCATAGGCTGTACTTGCCGATACCCGATACCGCATTTTAGGCAGTATCGGAGGCATTTCCGATACTGTTATCGGTATCGGTACAACTTTAGTGGCAGACTATGTGCTGACTCACCTCCGACCCAAGGTGGCTCTCAAGATCCTCTGCAACGTCAAAATCGCGGTGAAAACCGTGTAATGTGAACTAGGCTTAAATTGTCCGTAGTTGTGAATGTGAGTGTGAATGGTTGTCTGTCTCTATGTGTCAGCCCTGTGATAGTCTGGTGACCTGTCCAGGTTGTACCCTGCCTCTCGGCCAGTGTTAGCTGGGGTAGGCTCCAGCCTCCTCCGCTACCACCAACAGAATAAGCAGTTATGGAACATGAATGAATAAAAATGTAATGACATATTGGTCAGAAAAATTCCAGATTCTTTTCCTCAAATTGTTCAGCCCTACAATGAGGGATTATAGCCAGATTGTCTGGTGTGTTCACTCAAAGGGATTATAACGGAAATGTCTGGTGTGGTCACTTTTGGTTTCACCTCCTGATAAGTAGTTCAAATAATCACGCTCAGCTAGAGTGTGTGATGGTCTGTCGGCTCCTATTCTCTGCCCTATTCTCTGATCTCAGCCATGAACTTGCTGATTAAAATGGCGTCACGTTCGATAACAATAGTGGACAGATCTATGATGATATGAAACAAAAAGAATTTCCTTTTCATAAAAAAAAATAATCACGACATCTACAGGTGTAGTGTGTTGTTCTAATATCACACAGCTTTGCTTACAGTGGCCCATGGCAACAGCTGTCTTGGTAGCTCAGATTTACTAACCATGTCTCGTGTTGTGTCTGATAAATTTCCCCGTACACACCGCAGCAGAAGAAACACGCTTCCATTCGCTTATTAAAAAGTCTCAGTAGGTTTCATTGTCCTCCTCTCCGCGCATATTCGTCTCCTTCACTTAAACACATAACTGCAACCACAAAATCACCGTGGAGCACTTAGCTGCTCTTTTCCCCAACTGTTTCATTTTGCACAGCCACTAAAACAACAACAGAAAGGCCAGAAAGGCGAGCTTTAGGTGTGGGTGAAAACCAAGTATTGAAAGGCCCTCAGTGAAATCTCCAACTTGTGCATGTGTAAAATTTAATTAAGGATTAACTGAGTTGGTCCCCAAAGGACACATGAGGTTACTGCAGCGGGGAAAACTAACATAAATATACCAATACTGCAAATTAAATAATAACATCCCTGAAAAGTTTCCCCTTCTTCACCTGCCTGGTCCCCTTGAGCCTCACTGATATAAACAACAAAATCACACTTTCAAATACCAGCTTAGTGTTTTAGGTTATCTTTCCTGACACCACTTCAAACTTGTGACATAAAGAGAGGTTTGTATAAAGCATGAAGAAGAAAAACAAAACCCCAAACTTGGGACAGATTGTTTGTTACAGTGGGAGGAGAGGCCAGCGGGGAGTGGGCATGCCTGAGTGATTTGAGGTTGAGAATTAATGAAGGTGTGTGCGTGGCAGCCTGGCAGTCAAAGTGATGTTTTTCCACTCCAGATCTACTGTAAATGCCAGCTTTCATATAATGGAGCCAAGCTAAACATGCACACATGCAAACTCGCACACTGCAGATAGAGTATCAACTTGGCAAATTACTACAGTCACCACAAATATTTGCTCAGGTATACACTGCACTTAGTATTGCTTCAAATCCGCACTACCTCTCAATTTTGGATGATGACAAGAAGCAGTTTAGCAACTTCTGTCTTGTTGTTGTGTTCAATAAAGCCCTCATCATACCAAACTGACCATACTTGGCTTGTCAGCTTACATTTGTAGACACTTTAATTGATACCTATGATACCTATGTTGTGGGTGATAAACCATGACATTATGTCACTGAACAATCTCGGCTACATCCCGCACATTAAAGGATACATTTGGTATTTTAAACCTGGCTGTTTTTCTCCATGTTTTTGTGTCTGTGTGACTGATGGAAGGCTGCAATGTAACCACTCTGGGCATGTTTGCACTGTTAATTTACCTCGACTAAAAGTGTTTGTTTTCCCCACTGACATGCTCAGATTATTATTCCAAGTGTCTGACAGTTTAAGGAAAGGATCCCAACAGATATTGACCTTTTCGTTAAAGACTAAGATCCTTTCTGTTTAACCAGAAACAGCCCTGAAATCACCGTTGCCAGTTCCACTTCATTTAAATAAACATTACTTTAAGTGTATATAGAGCCAGCACATTTTCACATCCAACTGGGTGAACTGAGTGTTTATTTTAATCCAACTAGAGTTGGTGGTTGTTGGAACAGTCGAAAGATGAGCTTAAAAGTTTTTTTGCAAGTTTTATTTGTTTCTTTTGATTCAACGAAGTGTGTTTTCAAATGATTTAATCACTGTTTATTTGAATGGAGTCTGGTGGGTTTGGTGATAGCAATGTTGGGGCTGTTTCTGGTTTAACAATTAAGATCTTAAAGCCACAGTGTGTAGGAATTTCTCCCATCAAACGTTGAAATCATATATTGCATTCAAACGGATACCGCACTCTAGCGCCTCACTGTTTCAAATGTATATTGCAACTACGGTAGCTGCTGTGTACCAAAAAGCTATGATGACATTGATGAAACCATGTCATCTGATACTTCATGGAGTATTCATTCAGGCTCCTACACAGACACAGGTGACGCGAGTTGACAAACCCCCTCCTCACCATGCTGGCTGTGTTTACAACTTAGGACTGTTGGGGCGGATGTAAATTGAAACAAACCAATCGTGTCTCCGCCGTGTCTTTTGACAACTGACAAGTGGCTCAAACTCACACACCTCATCCCTATCCTCGCGGTGCTGTTAGCGGTGTGGCGCTGGCCTGTGATTGCATTACCTTTCTCCTCCTTTCCACCCGGGAAAGGCTACCCCGACGTTGACCTCGTTTTTTGAATTCGCTGGTCACGTTGCTTTTTTGATTACCTTTTGCGCTTTCTTGGCAACGAGGATTCCATCTCCCGTGATGCTGCATATGCATGACCCAGCATTATGCTCAAAGACTGGGACTTTGTTATGCCGGGTTAGTAGTGAAGCGCCTCTTGCTCCTCTCCTTCGTCTTCTCAGTCTCGCAGTGCTGGTCTGGCTCTCAACAAAAACACTGATGGCAGGGCTGTATGTCCCTTGCTGGCGAATGTATTCTCAAGATGGCGAAGCGTTATGGAACCCCCCCCAGACGACTTACCGGCATGATGTACAAACAAATCCGAAATTCTCCTCTTACGAGAATAAGTCATATTATTGGTGGAGGTAATGATACACCAGTGATGACATTTATGAATGCAGACATTGATTTTTGCCAGTAAACAACTGAAAATGTTACACAATGTCCCTTTAGGGTCTATAGGAATAATTTCTGTAAGTTGTCAGACACTTAAAGGCCCGAACATACTCGGGCGGAACGTACGCGGAACGGACTCCACGGAGGTCCGCGCGGACTCAAAGCGGATGTCCGCAAGCCCTGTGCACGCAAAGCTCAGATTTTACGACCCCGCGAACTCCGCTCCGCGCACCAGTGACTGCTCGGCATGTATTTTTCACATCGCTGGGATTTTTCACAGACATTTTTACAATGCGGTAGTGTGCTCGACTATGAAAGCCCGAATGACTGCGGACATTCCTCGCGGAGTCCACTCCGCTTATAGTACGCCCGAGTATGTTCGGGCCTTAAAAGTAATCTGAACATGTCAGGGGCAAAAACTAGCATTTGTGGTGGACGTTAACAGTGCAAACTTGCCCCAAGTGGTTACATTGCTGCCTTTTTCTCTACTGCCGACGACAGCATCTCGCTTAGTAGCGCGATCAATTAAAAAAAAAATTGATTCCCATTAGTCACTCAGACACAAGAAACATGGGAGAATATAGTCCAGGTTGAAAAATACTGAACTTACCCTTTAAATGGTCAGTAGCTTTGATTGTGTGTGCCCAGGTTCGGAGATACAAGGTCTGAAACGTGTGCTGCCGTCCCAATTAGATGGAGGTGCATGGAGTTTTGTTTGGGCTGCTTCAATAGTTTTAAAAACATAAACAAAACAGTAAATAATAACTTTGTTCCTGTTAAGTTTTCCAATTGTCTTTCTTAAATGACCACTGTAAACAAAATTCCATTCGCCCCCATATATAAGGGTGGAGACAGAAATCTCAGAGATGGCTATCGCGAAACCTCAGCAGATAAAACTGAAGCAATTTGCATGGCTAGATACCACTAGAGGTGATGTCAGGCAGAATTAACAGGATGTCTGCAGGTCTTCGAAAGTCTTAAATTGTCTTAAAGTAAATTTTAGAAATAGTAGACTTCAAAGTTATTAAATTGTCTTAAATTTAAATCTGTGAAGTCTTAATTGCCACAGACATTTTATCTAAAAAACCCACTCATCTTTTAATTCATTTCTGACAAAATGAGTCAGGCTCTTCTGTGTCAAATTCACATTTCTGATGTTACAAATCCATCAACCTACCACCGTCTTTTCACTTTATACGTGCACAGACCTGTTGGCAAATTGTAGATTAATCTAACTTACTTTAATGACCACATTCCTACATAAAACCTACCTCTGCACAGGACCACATACATTCTGCTTAACTTAATATTTACCTGCAATGCTTGAATAAGAAAATGACAATCTGTCCAAAAATCAGTCTTAAATTTTATTGAAAATCATCTTAAAACGGAGTAAATTTAAGTGTCTGATAAGTGTGAACACCTTGAATAAGTAAAAATGCATGCTTTGTACAAAACAAGCCTGGTCTTTCTGAAAACCCACGTGGCAAAGCTCTGTACAAGGTAGTGAAATGTGTCCCATGTCAGGCTGAATATTAATATTTTGGAACACGGCGGACAGAACAAGGCACATTGTGTCAGTGTATCTTGTTCAGACCTCTCTTCCAAAATCAATAGCATGCTCGTAGTCACTTTTTTGGGTCTTTCTACGGTAAAGGCTGGGAGCAGAGGGCAATGTTGAATCTTCTGGGAAGTCGTTGAAAAAATCTTGACAGACAGCCAAATTAAGACATTGAGCAGGAAGCGGCTCAAAGTTGTCCAAATTGATTTATCCGCAGGTGGATCAGCCGCACTAGTAACCTCTCACATTACAAAGACTCATTTTTATAATGATAATGTCTTCTTACAATGCCTCGATTTCTCTGTCTGTTATTGAGGAGATCTTTAAGAGGATTTGCTGATACAGAGTAATAATATTTTAATGTGATAATAATAAACTTTCAGAAAAATAAAACACACTGGAGCAGCTTTATACTGTGTGCCAAAGTCTCCGCAGCCTCGTAGCTGCAGGATCCCAAACCTTGTATGGTCATGTTATTGTGATACTGTTGACTCGACTGTAAATGGTGGCCCTTAAGTCACTTTGACACAGACAATGCGGACACACGGTATGTCAGATTGTGCAGTGTGCACATACTGTAAGCCAGACGACAATGTGCTTTAATGTTTTATGCGATGTCTGTGTTTGCAGTGTCAGACGTGCAGTTTGGGCGCTTGGAGTCGAATGTGACACTGGCATGCGGGAAATCACAAATCAGGTAAGGAAAGAAAAACGATTGCGTGTGTTGTGTTACTTTGTCTCTGGATGACGAAGAGATCTGCTTTACTGATCCAAAACATCACTATAGCGGCTACATATATTACATTTAAGAGTAGAGAAGAGAAGACAGGAACAAATTCATCATGTCATGAATCAAATCATAAAGGTTGCAGTGATATCGTTACGCATGTCTTTTTTTCCCAGCTTTCACTAGAAGACATATGCATGTTTATGTGCCTTCAAGAATTGTTGGGAAATGTATAAAATTCTGACAAAATAAAACAGTTTAAGTGGTAATGGTGGTCTGACAGTCAACACATTATCGTCAGTGGTGTCGTATAGTGGAGTATACCCACCTATTAGCCAAAAGGCCATTGGGATATATAGGACAGTATACCCACTTCCTCCTCAGTAACCTACCCATCTACTTAGTAGGACAACCCCCTTGTCAATCGCTGCTACACCACCAATTTTCATGAAACAAATGGTCTAACAGTGTCTACATTGCTAAAGCAGTAAAGCAGTAGGTTCAAAGAATGTAGACTGGGGGTACAGGCTCGTCATTGGCCACCTATTTCAAAATCACCTTTGCTACGTGGCTCTAGTTTCGTATAGCCAGACCTAGCTCCATTTTCATTTTAGTGCTGTGTGCAACCTCCCAACTAGCAACCTGCACGCTAACACGTCTTTTAATGTCTTATGTGGCGTTTTCTTTTGCCATTTTAATGCCAGGGTTCGACTCTCCACGTGTAAATGTTCACAAACAAGTTCCCTCCCAACACTATTTTCACAACAGTATTGTTGTTGGGCTTAGCTCCCCCCAAGACGATTGTGATTGGTTTAAAGAAATACAAACAATCTACAGTGTTTTTTTCCATAAATGTGGAATAATGATGGGCTCAGCCAGGCGTTTGTCTAATGCTAGCCCAACACAAGATACATCTGGCTATGCTAGATAACTAAGGGGGCGATCACACCTACAAGGAGCGCTAGAAACGAGACGCCAGTAAAATAATCGATTCCCTATGATATGGTGCGTCTGACTGGTTTTCAAGTGTTTTTTCAAGCGGTTTTTAGACGCACGTTTGTAGATGCTGAAAGTTGAAATAATCTCAACTTTTGGGCGTCAGGAGCCAGTAGCACCACCAGCAGAGCAACGGCAAGTGCCCTCCTCCGTCTTGGGTCCATTTTCAATGTTTTGATCCCCCGGTTGCGCACGCACCCCGCTTTACAGGTGCTCCTCGTAAGGAGCGATCATTGAAAGGGCGTGTCAGGCATTTCAAGCGTCTTTGAAGCGTCTGCGCCACCTTTAGGTGTTATCGGCCCCTAAAGCAGGCACAAAAACATAAGTTATCTGACTTGAGACTGAGGCAGTGTGTGCCAGCTGAACCATCTTTTCTAAAAGAAGAAAAGTCCAACAACTACTAACAGAAAAAAGACTTTAAACATAACATTGAAGTGTATTGTCAGTAAATCCTATTAAAAGGCGAACCCAACTACGGATGCTGACAATATCGGCACATCATCGGAATCAACCAATATTTGCTTTGAAATGAACTATGGGAATCAGCCAACATGCTTATGATATCGGTGCGTCTTTGTACCGACTGATATCGGCTTTAAAATGAAGTGTTAGAATCAGCCAACATGCTTTTTCTTATTTTGCGTAATGAATGAATTTTACATACATTGCGAAGCATTATATTTTATGTCTCCATCTGCTGGCGGGACATCACAATAAGAGGATGCATGTATAATATGATGTTAATTCCTCTACAGAAGAGACTTGATAATCACTAAAATTAGGTGGGGAAAAAGGTGGATATATCGATATTGGTGTTGGTTGTTGGCCAGATAAGTTGTTACATATTGGCATATTGGATACTGGGAAAAAATCCAATATCTTGAAATGCTAAACCCAACGATGAATTTGTCTCACTAACAGGTGTTGCCTGCTACATCTTTTTCATGTGTCCTAGAACTTTATTTTTGTCCAAAACGTAGCATTGCAAGATGGACTAAGGCACTGTTGGTTGTGCTCTCTTTACTGGATTTGTTGACAGTGAGAAAAATATAGTTTTAAAATGCAGATTTGGGTATTTGCTACCTTTGATATCATCCTTAAAGATTTTAGTTGTTGCTTAAGTGCTCACAGGTTAGTGTGTGAAGTCATCACCAGCATAATAACTAAACTCTAATGTGTTCCCGACCAGGACACCTGTGGTGTGGCATCTCAACCACAGCTCGGCGTTACCATGGCACAAACTAACATCAGATGGAACCTTAGTCCTGCTGCGCGCCAGCCACTCAGCGCAGGGCAACTACAGCTGCTATGACAACCGGGGGCTCCTCCTCCACTCCGTCAAACTCAGGCTGGGCCGTAAGTGTTGTTGTGTTGTGACTTGTCCAGGCTCACAGTGCCTAATTTAGAAGTTATTACACTTTAACAGCTCTGCCATACTTTTAGTTTCTCGCCGTGGGACTGCAGCTTTAAAAGATTACTCTTCTCAGCAGGAACATGCCTGTGTCCCCTGTGTTTTAGACAGTATCTCCCAGTCTTTCACACTACAGCTCAGTCTTTGGATTATTCAGCATAAAAGCATAAAATAATTTTCTGTTCCTCCTACTCAGACATTCTCATCTCTTTTTGAGCTTGCCTCAGTGTATTTTTCTCTATTTCTGTTTCTCTTTCTCCACCTTTTTTCATGAACGACTTTCTTCTCTAAACATTTCACATATGCCGGCCCTCTGGTTGTACCAAGATATCTTATGACAACAGAGATGATCAGAACAGCACTACTGGTCCTCAGAGGAAATGGGTCTTATCAGCCGTCACAAAGACAAAGCCCTCCACTTCCTGTAACTTTCTCAAACAGGAAGTGGCTCCCTAAGTGGATTTCCTTTTTAGGGGTAGAGAGTTTTCCATGGTACTGGCCAGGCTGCTCCTGAAATATTTTAGTTCATGAAAGGGACACCAGAGCACTGAGCTGTTCATTTTAGACCTCAGGGATAAGGCATAAAAACATTTTCTAATGTCACTTGACAGGGCCCCTTAAAAAAAAAAAAAAAAAAAAAGAACTCCCTTTCTGTTCTGAAAATAAACTGTGTGACTCCCGTTTCCCAGACCCCCCTGGGCTGCTGAGCATTTCCTGTCAAGTGCCGAATCACACGCATGTTCGCTGCTCCTGGGTGGAAGCAGTGAAGACCTTCCTGCCAGCCACGTACAATGCCTCCCTCAGGTAAGAGTGAGTTACTGCAAGTGAAACAGCAGCGCCAAGGGCCATATTCAGACTGAGCAATGAAGAAACTAATTATAGTGCATGTGGCACAGAGTTGCATTTTGAATGAAATACGTATAGTGTGAGTCGTATCCCAATGTGAACCCTGACTATCCTTCTTTGTTTCCTCTCTTCACTTTGCCATATGGCACGCAGTGGAAACTTTTACCACAACACATTACAGCAGTGTTTCTCAAGTTCTTTTTTTAAAGTGTCAACTGAGAAAAGTCGAGCTTTGGCTCCAGCGTTCAGCTGTGATGACCCCTCAGTGATTACGTTTCTGCAATTTCCAGCACACACTTTAGTTGCCTTTTACCCAGCAGACTGCAGCACTTGACAATTTCTGTTTTGTTTTCAAGGGGGACTGGACAGGAGTGGAGGCCGTGTGTCGTGGATGTCGTCCGCAAGCACTGTGATGTAGATCACCCTGCCTTCTGGCAGACCATCCATACCCTGAGAGTCACAGAGACCAACGCCCTTGGGTCCGAGACAACATCTGTCCGGTTTAAATTACATGAGCTATGTAAGATCACATAAAACACACCCACACATGCACGCACAAAGGAATGTAGTGATTAAAATATTTTCATATTTTAGTGACAAATTTGTATGATGATTGTGTGTCTGTGAAGCACTTAAGTGACTTTGTTTTTCCTCAGAAGGTTGTGAATTTTACAATTATTTTCTTCTTCCATTGCTCCAAAGGGCAGGCCATATTCTCAGAGCACACCTGTATTTATGTCTGTGCACAATAGCTTCTAAAATACTCTTATCACAACATAAGACAATAAAAATAAGAATGTCAGGTAGTTTTTTTTTTTTCTCCTTTCTTTCGGTGGTAGGTTGTCTTTGCTGGTGCTTTGTTATAATTTGCTCCAGACAATAAAGCGATTCACGGCTTTCTCCTTTTAAATGTCATCATCCCTCACACTGGCTGCCAATCAGGACTTTTCATGTGTCACACACTTAGAATTCCTACACACGAATGGCGACAAATAGGTTCCCCACAAAGGTTTTTTAAATTCAGTTGAATTAAAGTACATTTTTTTAGCTAGAGTTTGCCTCTTTAATAGGAAACTTGTGCAGACAACATACTGATACAGTCAGTTAAAAATGTATTCATAACCTTTTTATAGGCCCAGTTGAATTGGGCGCGTTCCAGGCAACCCGTAACCCGTGTTTTTACAACCTTCTACCCGTGAAAGTGCACTGGAACGGCAGTCAAACCCGTAACTTACCACCCGTGAACTACTCCCAGTTACGCTCTCTGACGTCACACAGCCCTCTAAACAACAATGGCAGCCCCCATGGATGCGGTGCTGACGCAGGTGATACACGGTGCTCTAACGTGAACATTAAATCTGCTAACATCAACGCATTATTGGCAGTCGCTCTAACAGCAGTGCAAGAATAAATCAATACTAAATACGTTTCCAAACACACAGATAACGTATAATAAAAAGTATAATAACATCTGTGACCTTATGCGCCGTTTCTCCTCCTCCGTTTTGCTCACATGAGCAAGGAACAGGCACCTTTGGCGATAGAAGTGATTGTAAACAAACGTAAACCTCGCACGGTCAGCCATGTTGGTTTGACAGTTTGGCGTGACTTGACATGGTGACTTGCGGGCTCAGAGACTTGCCTGGAATGCAGCATAACACTATTCAAAACTGCTATTGTGGTTCACTGACAACGTTGCTGGATCTGTCCCCTCTATTATTTTTTACTACTTGTGACATAACAGTCACTTAAAAAGCTTGTTCAAATGCTGCACTGTCAGGGGTACGAGCGTCATGGCTTAATAGCATCTTGATTGTCTACTTCTTTTGTCTAAAAAACCAATAGAAATCCATAGGCTTTGTGTCCTTACTTGTCACCAGTTAACCTGCATGTCTTTGGACTGTGGGAGTTGAAGCTTCAATATGCCGCTATAAAGATTAAGCAAACTTTATTTTGTTGGAAAGATACACCCATACATCCATGTAACATGCACATCCAGAGACATTCACACAAAATGTCTTGATTTCTAAGGCTGCACATAATTTTTCTCCCGCCTGCAGTTGTGACCGTGCCCTCTTGGTCTTCATCTAACGACCTCAATTATCTTGTTTTGCCGCTTCTCTGTGGGCATGACGTTCTTGTCGCTCTCGAGCAGAGAGATTCACAGCGTCCTTGAGACAGTCTTCACAGCACCTGGTGTGCTCGCTGGATGTTGCTCAGCGCTTTTCTCTTTTTGCCTCTGCATACTTTTTGTTACAGTGGTGTGAATGCGCCTCAGAACATAAATAAAGAGATAAGAGTCTGTGGGATGGGATTCAGAGAACTCATGGATAGTTCGAGTAATAGCGAGGTCACGTATTCATTAAAAAAAAAAAAGTTTGATTCACTTTATATTCCTCAGAGCTGCAGAGGTAGATCATTCATCAGATAAAGAACAGCAACAATACAAAAGACTAAAAAGCAAACAAGTGGAGAAATTAAGTGTTAATGGTTTGATTTGTTACATTCATCCCTCTTATATTTGATATCTCTCTCCAAATTTTCTTTATTGTATCTTAAACCATGTGCAAACCACGGAGGAAATACTTGCGGCCAAATCTCACTGTCTTTCTCTCTGTCTGTCTTTTTTTGCAGTGAAACCGGACCCTCCAGAGTCGCTGCTGGTCAAGGAGCTCGAAGGCTATCCAAAGAGGCTGATCGTCTCATGGAACTTTCCCTCCTCCTGGCCACTGCATGATGCTTTCCCTCTTATTTTTCAGATCAGATACAGGCCACAGGGCTCTGTGTACTGGTCAGAGGTTAGTAAAAAAGGCTGGAGACTTCATTTGGGTTCAACTGAGTTTAACTCTTGCATCTCGTCAGACCGATACTCTGTATATACAGGTTGTTTTAAAGACAGCACAACAGTAGTTTCCCTGTATTATACCAGCAGTTTAAACTTAACATATGTTCATTTATTTACTTGCTCTGATCGGTAACAAACAAATAACCCAAGCCAATCAATTTCAGTCTCATATTGTCACTGACTTCTTGCTTGGCGTGTCACTCAGAACCCACAATAGGTCTGAAAACAAATCCCTGTCCTGTCTCTGTCTCCATTGTCAGGTTTACTCTGAGGAGAGTCCAGTCGTAATATTCGATGCCCTGGCCGGTCACCTCCACCAGGTTCAGGTCCGAGCCCGTGACGAGGTGAACTCTGAGAGCCAGTGGAGTGAATGGAGTCCCCTGCATCTCGTCAGGCCCTGGGAAGGTCAGAAAGAACATTCACTAAATGTTGATTTTTAAGTCTATTTTTAGAGCACTTTTAAAAGCAACAGACGATGAGAAAAAGTGCTTCACAGAGAGAAAAATAAGAAATGAAACTCAAGACATGAGTTAATAGAGGCATTATTATTATGGATAAAAATATGACAACACAATAGCCATGTTGCTAGAGCTGCAATGATTAGTCAATGGAATAACTGGAAATTATTTTACTAATCTCTTATCATTTCAGTAATTATTTAAGCAAAAAAATAAATAAAAAATTGACCTTTCACTAAGCCCCGCCCCTTTGTGATCGTCCGACAAGCTGTCGGAGTAAACATGGAGCCCACACTGTAACTAACTGCACTCCCTGAAGAATTATTATCATATTTATGGAAGAATGAAAGAGTGATTCCAGAGAGAAGCAGACAGAGGGGTCTACAGTCTGTGTTTGAAGGATATATCCAGGATGTCAAACTGACTCAGCAGCAACAACAGGTGAAAAAGACAAAGATAGTTAGAAGCTAAAGCCGAACTATAGGCTACAGATCACAGTGTAAAAGTGAACCACCACATCACTGCTGATCGCCACACAAGACAATGAATATAAAGGGAAACTTTGCTGATATTGAACCAGCTGTGTGGCATCGCAGTGTGTGCAGATGAACAGTGTTTGGGATCTTGGGATCTCCAGGGGACGTGAAACAATGTTCATCTGTGCACAATGCAATGACATTCAGTAGGCTATGTCTTCAGTAGCTAGCTAGCTAACCCTACACTTTCCAGGGTTTGATTTTGGAACAGGGAAGAAACGTATATCTTTTTCCAACCTCTCCAGGTAACGAGTATCATTAATACACGACGTGCCCCAGGCACAACATTTAGCTCCAAATCCACAAAAAAATTAGAGTCAATGGACCCTGGTCTGAGCCGGCCTGCTGCTACATCATGATTGGCCAGTTTGTGTCCAGGGGTGGGACTTAGAGAAGAGTCAATTGTGGTTCCAGCTTCTCAAATATGGAAGGCTGCAGCTGCTCCTTGTCTTAATAGTGTAGTCAACGAAATATGTTTGGGTTTTGGACTGTTGGTCAGACAAAATGAAGTATTTCAAGACGCCTTGGACTCACCTTTTTTCTGAGGATTTAAAGACCAAAAACAAATCTAGAAAATTATCTGCAGAATAATCAGAAACAATTGGTAGTTGTAGCCCTGCATGTTTTAATCAGAACAATTGAATAACAGAAACGTTAGATCTTAGGGGGAAAAACACTTGATACATCTATCAGGGCTCATGCATGTAGTGTATGTAGTGCTATCACCTTAGATTAGCAGAAGCCCTTTTAACCCTGTAGCGAAAGACTTTGTAATTTGTGCTTATTCATCGTTGCTCACCAGAATAAATTCCCAAAAATGTGTGTGTTTTGTATTTACAACAGTCTCCTCCACCCCTCTATCTCCAGAGAATCTCCCGCCAGAGGGAGACTATCCAGACTATTTTTTCCCCTTCAACTCGAAACCTGAAACCTCCACGGAAAAGTCGAACAGTAAGTTGTTTCAAAAAAGATAATTGTGTGTGTGATTGTATTCCAGAGCAACACCCAGTGTGTTTGTGTTGTAGCTCGACAGTAGTACGATTACTGTCACTGTTATTATTATGAGCAGCTCTGCCAAAAAATGTGCTGCTTCTTCCACTGCAGTTGTTTCTGCTACAATTACAGAAGCTGGGGGCGCTAGAGAGCTAATTTCTTATCTAGGCCTAACCGCCATATGGATTTTTACTAAAATTGGTAGATATGTAGAACAGGATGCCTCAAGGTGACTGGAGAAATTTAACTCTAATTGGCAACTGGGTGGCACTATAACAACAGAAAAATGCTTAAAAATGGCTAAAATGCGTCTAAGATGCAACTTGATATGACTAAGTCATGGTATGGTATGCTGTACATAATCACGGAAACTGTCAGTGTGTCACTCTGTCAGTCAGTCATTCTGTCTGTCCCACGTTTTTCTACTCACTGACGTGGTCAATCTATGTGAAACTGCATATAGGCATTGAGGATTGGCATTGAGGATAGGTAGAAGGTGACAAAACTACCAATGGGTATGGACTAGTTATTATTATTAATGGTTGGATAATTTGAAAACAAGACTGTTCCTTTCTTGTTTTCAATCATGTCAGTCTGAGTTTTAGGGGATCTCTGTGAATCACAGCAAGTCCAGCAGCACCCGCGTATATTTTTTTTCACCATTATTTGGCAACAACAAGAAGCCGCATCAGTCATTAATACAGTAATAAGGCATTATTTACTGTTATTATACTTGGATGGAGCAGTACAAGCACCTTGTGCCCGGCTTCATCACCAAATTACATTTAAGTGCAGTAGATTGTACCTGCAGGGTGTTGTGTTCTCTGCAGTATGTGCCCTGGATGAAAAGTTAAGTGCGTGCTAGCTCACATGTACACGGGCAAAAGCAGCCTGCAGTTGCGAGCATGCCCATCTGCGCTTGTAAACACGCACACACACCCACGTACAGTGTAGTCAAAGAGACAAACACACACAGTCGCCGTGACTGATGCTGTCAGATTTCCTTAAGCTGGTGTGCTGCGAACCAGATGTCTTCTTCTCTTTGTGTGTGTGTGTGTGTCCACTGTGTGTGCGCAGATGTGCTCATAAATCGTTATGTTTTTTCATGTTTTATTTTTTAATGTGTGTCTGTGCTGATCTTTTTTTGTGCTTTGTATTACAGTTCACATCCAACAATGTGTGTGAACCAGAGTTGTTTACTCCTCTCGGTGGGATGAATGAATGTTTGTGTGAAAGCCATAACAGCACATTTAAAATTAACTTCTCGCCAGAGAGTAATTAAATCGGAGAACACACACATACCAGCGTTTTTTCGTCTCTGTATTTTACTCACACACACAGACATGTAAGATGAAACGAGTATGAAAAAAAATGAAATACATAATTTTACAGCTTTGTCTTTTTTCGATAACTCAAGACAGGAAAACAATGGAGCGATGTGTGAACCGTCTCATTCGTCTTTGTCTTCTTCTCCATGTTCTGTAACTATATTTGTCTCCACACTTTTACATCTGTCTCTATTGTGCTTCTGTTTCCCTCTCCAAGCTTTCATTCTTGAGTCAGCTCTCCTCTCCCACCCTGCTCGTTTTGTTGACCTCCCCTGTTGTTTTCTCCGTCTCCGTCTCTCCCCATTCAGATGCAGCACATCCTGAGGATGAAGGTAATTTGGGTTTGGTGATTCTGCTGGTTTTGTTCTCCGTGGTCATCCTCACCACCGTCCTTTCCCTCATCTTTGTCGTGTGGTAAGAAACACACACACACTCACGTATCCCACATCCACAGGCCACAGCTGTGTGGTCTGTCTCTGTTTCTCTGGATTTGAATGAGATTTTTTTTTTTTTTGTCAAAGCAGGACATTTTTAAAGGTTTTTTTGTTGCTGTTTACTCAGTGTTTTATATTTTCAGGGTAAGGCAGAGGCGGCGCGATCATGTGACCAAACAGGAACTCACCTCTATGGTCAAGATGAAGTCCATGCCAATCTAATGTAAGACACACCTACGCACAATTTTGTGTTTCTTTGTCTGAATATCTTCTCATGTTTAATTCTTCGTCTTGTCGCACGTGTTGTGAATATGCCGAGTTCTCACCAGTGGCCACACACGGTTGTTTATGTTCCTAGTTTAGCTCATTTGGCACATAGTCCGAGACCTTTGGATGGCGAGCAGCCTCTGCGGCTGAGCTAATTAAAATCCTAATTAAGTGTCACTTCTCTCTGATTTATACGAGGACCACAAAATGCCCTCAAACGGGAGTGAAGCCAGTGAGACGAGCACAGCAAAGCTCTGTCCTCAGTACGAGCTGCAATGGTTCAAAGTGCTGCTATAAACAACAGTCAGACAGCCCTTCAGATAGCCAGCCAACTTGTGATTATAAGCCTGACGCACACACACACGCACACGCACACACACACACACACACACACACAGATTATAACCCTGTAAGTATGCCTGTATATCTCTCATTCAGCTCTGTTATTTAAATGCATACTTTTAAGGCAGTGCTTAATTACATTATGATTTATACATGTTTTTTCTTCTGTTTTCCTCCTCTCTGCTCTCCCTCATGTCCTCTCTCCTTTACTCTAACCTCTGTCCTGGCTTTATTCATCATATTTTTTCATATTTTCATATTCTCTTCTTTTCTCTTCTCTTCTCTTCTCACTTTCCCGTTGCCCATTTCATTTCCTCTCTTCTCCTTTCTCTTCTCCTCTCCTCTCCTCTCCTCTCCTCTTTCCCATCTTTCTTTTCCTTTCCTCTCCTTTCCTTTCCTTTCCTTTCCTCTCTTTCCTTTCTCTCCTCTCCTTTCCTCTCCTCTCTTGTCCTCTTCTCTCATTTCCTTTCCTTTCCTTTCCTTTCATTTCCTTTCCTCTCTTTTCCTCTCCTCTCTTCTTTTCTTCTCTCCTTTCCTTTCCTTTCCTTTCATTTCCTCCTTCCCTTTCTCTCTTTCCTTTCTCTCCTCTCCTCTTTCCCATCTTTCTTTTCCTTTCCTTTCCTCTCTTTCCTTTCTCTCCTCTCCTTTCCTCTCCTTTCTTTTCCTCTCCTCTCCTTTCTTATCATCTTCTCTCATTTCCTCTCCTTTACTTTACTGTACTTTCCTTTCCTCTCCTTTCCTTTCTTCTCTTTCCTTTTTCTCCTCTCCTTTCCTCTCCTCTCTTTTCCTCTCCTCTCTTGTCCTATTCTCTCCTTTTCTTTCCTTTCCTTTCCTTTCCTCTTCCCCATCTTTCTTTTCCTTTCCTTTCCTCTTCTTTCCTTTCCTTTCATTTCCTTTCCTCTCTTTCCTTTCTCTCCTCTCCTTTCCTTTCCTCTCTTTTCCTCTCCTCTCCTCTCTTGTCCTCTTCTCTCCTTTTGTTTCCTTTTGTTTCCTTTCCTTTCCTCTCCTCTCCTCACCTCTCCTTTCCTTTCTTTCCTTTCCTCTCTTTTCTTCCTCTCCTCTCCTCTTTCCCATCTTTCTTTTCCTTTCATTTCCTCTTCTTTCCTTTCCTTTCCTCTCTTTCCTTTCTCTCCTCTCCTCTCCTCTCCCCTCCTCTCTTTTCCTCTCCTCTCCCCAGGTTGATTTCAAGCATCCTCTCCATGTCAGCCCGTTCTAGGGCTCCTCCCAAGAGTCAGCCTTTGCCTTTACCACTGTAGCAAGCTGACCGTCCGTATTTCACTACATTAACCAGAATGCATCAGCCGGGGTCAAACCAGGATCCAGGACAGGGATACAGGGAACTCTGTGGAGTGGGGTAAAGTTACCCAGCATCAAAAAGCTGAATGAAGGGTATGTTTCGCAAGATTTCCATGGACTTATTCAGTGGTCACATCTAACTGTACTACCCATAATGCATCAGCGGACTCCACTTACTGTCCGTGGGGACAGGGGGAAAACAGACCCTTCTCTGTTTCACGTTCACTTCAGCAACTTGACTGCAGCTCACTCCTCAGCGGACTGCAGGAGCGACACTGCATCAGGAGATTCGAGTTCACTTACAACCAATGCTGCTTCAGGTGGACTGACTCCTCCCCCTTTTTGGAGAGGAGCGACATTTTTTTTTTTTTTTTTTTTTTTTATTTGAACTTTTAAGCATCAAGTAGGGACAGGAAGTGCAGCTGCCAAACAAGAGAACATAGGCTTTTTTTGTTTGTGGGAATGGGAAGTTTTTTTGGAGGGAAGAATTTTCCTCTCTTCTCCCACCCAGAACTCCTCACGTTCTTTTATTTTTTTGAGTTTCGTTGTGAGAAGTAACAGATTAATGTGCGTCCGTTATTACATCGACTGACCGACCGACTCAATGCTGTGAAGGAAGCATAACTGCCAGTCTCTGTGTGTGCATCTGATGCCAAAGCAGCAACCAAGGGCATTAAGGGTCTCAGCTGAGGGGCAGGGAGCAGCCTGTTACTGGCTCCTGACCCGAGGAATGGACATGGAGAATAAGGTCCAGGGTGGGCGGGCTGGGTTGACTTTATTTCATTTACGACAAGTGATTTTATGTTGCATGATATGCTTGTTATGTCGTCTGATGTCTTCAGCACCAGTGTTCTTTTGTTGCTTTTGTCATACCTCTTTCTATCCATCCATCCACTGTTACTGAATGTGTGACTGAAAGACACACGAAGGGAGAAAGAGAGTTAAGTAAAGAGATACTGGCCTTTCACAGACCACCAGCATTATGAAATTACATCAGTACTTAGCTAGAGAATATAAAAAATAGATAGTCAGCCATCCTGTCTAGACTCCAAACAACCCCTAATACCTTCTTTCTCAATGTGTGTCATTACATTTCTTTTTTTAAAGTTCAAACACAACCTTTTAAGAGCAAGTCAGGCTGAAAAACGGTGTTTTGCTGCCGTCTGTGGTTGAAGGTTTCAGCCCCGTTTCTCCCAGAGTAACACCCAATACTGATGTTACAAGGTCCTGGTGTACACCTGTGCATCTCTGCAGTGAGCTGAGAAGTTAAACCAATGGAGGTCAGAGAGAACAAGCTTTTAACGTGGTGTTAAGGGTTGACGTACTCTTTAAAATCAAGATGGTTAAGAGAAAAGTAAAAGAGAAAAAGAAAGTTGTAGGGTTTGCCTTGCGATTTAAATTTGGGGTAGATATCACAATTTCCGTCACGATACGACATATTCTTTGACGGAAATGGTGAACCAGACGTGTCTTGGGAAATTCAACGTAAAGGCATGTCTAAAACAGTGGTTCCCGAATTGTCCAGCCACAGTCCAGATTTGTCCATAGTCATTAGTTTGAGGTCCACACGGTTAAAAATATTCAGCGTCAAACTTGTGTTTAACCATGTCGTCAAGCTAGTTTGCTGTCTCTGTTAAGTAGCTGTGCATTAGTCACTCACTCCACAGCAGGAAACAGCACTTAAAAATAAAAGCTCTGTGCTGGAAATTCACTGTACTTCAAAATAAAGTGTGTTTATTACAATCTAGACATGTTTGCAAGTCACTTGTGGTCCATTCTGAATGGACCCACGACCCATCAGTTGGGAACCACATGTCCAAACAGTGACGATTTGTATCGATGTTTTCAATCAGCATCTATAATACTGGATCATTGATCATTGAATTGATATATTGGACTAGATCGATGTATCGTTACACCCCTAATTTACAGTATACATGGTTTGTTTTGCATTTAAAATACATGTGTAATATGACAGTGTCCAATGTAGGGCTGACGCTATCTGGTATCTTTATTATCAAGTAATCTTTCAAGCATTATTTTTAAGATATATAAAATGCGACAATGCCATAAAGTTGAGGAAAGCAGCTCATCTTAACGACTGAGGAGCTGCAACTGGCAAATATTTGGCACTTAAATGATATTATCGTTGTCTATCGACAAGTACACTAAACGACTTTAAGCACTAGGCCATTGTTACACCATTAAAGTTACTTTCACCCCTTTTTAACTTTATAAGACCTATAGTGTTTCATGTGAATTGTTGGTGTGGGGTTACTCACTCAGTTTCTTTCATCTCTAGTGATATTACCTACAGATAAGAGGAATGCAGTAACAAGACAATAAGAGGCATATTTTAACTAGACACACAAAATAGTTGCCTATACTGATACAATAAGAAAAAGGAGGAAAAAAAAGAAGAAGTTATAGATTTAAGGGTAAAATCACATAATAATATGTAGGGCTGGGCAGTCTATTGATATTCTATGGATGTTGTGATGAGAGACTAGATATCACCTTAGAGTTCTGGTATCATAATATTGTTACTGTTGTATTTTCCTGGTTTTAAAGGCAGCGTTGCAGTAAAGTGATGTCATGTTCTGAACCTACCAGACTGTTCTTTACCCACTTAGTCATTATATCCACATTTCATGCAATTATCTATTAAAAAATCTCATTGTGTCAATATTTTGTGAAAGCACCAATAGTCAACCCCTACGATATCGGTATTGTATTTGGTCAAAAATATTATGATATTTGATTTTCTCTGTCTCACCCAGCCCTAATTACAAGCTGGTTCATTTTTATAATGGGATTAAAGCCAGTGAGCTAAAAGCTAGCTAAAATTATATTAAGCACTTTGTTTTCCAGCAAAATTATTTGAGAAAGAATCATTTTACCTAAAAGTCCTTTTGGGAAACTGCTCTCATGAACAAATAACAGACATGTTAAGTGTCTCCAAGACTGTGCTACTGTAGGTGTAGTTCACATAGGAATGAAAATAAAGTTTATCAGTGCAACTCATAGCCAATGCGGGATTTATACTTCTGTGTCGAATCAATGCTGTAGCCTGACGTGCACCTCCCCAGGAATGTAACTACAAGTTGCAGCGATGCAGACCTCCTGTCTATTTCTTTAAGCTGAAACCATTTCCATCTGTGTTTACGAAGCTTTTATTTACTTTAATTTCACAGATAAGAAACAATAAATTGTGAAAACAATAAAGCCTCCACAAAAATAGCATTTTAAGTCTTGTGTGTGATTTATCCTGGCTTCATATGAGCAGAGGAAATTTCTTCTTGTCTCTAGTCTAATTTTTACAATGTAAAATGCCATAGTCTTGTGCTAATAACGTTAGCATGTTGTATTTGTTTGGAAAACGTGTTTAGTTTTAGAGAGTTGTTTGTCGGTGAACCTTGTGTGCTGATTTTTTTAACGTTACCTTTGCTAAATGTTGCTGTTTATGGCTTCACATGAGTAGAGGAAAAGTCCGCTAGCAGCTAGGCTAATTTATACAATGTAAAATGCCATAGGCTTGTGCTAAAAACATTAGCATGTTGTATTTGTGGGGAAAATGTGTCCAGCAAAAGACAAGTGCTTTGTCTGTGAATACTGCGAATTATAGTAAAGCTGATGTGTGTACTAGTGTTTGAAATTGTCACTATTAAGTCATGTTTAATGTGTTTTGAATCAATTAAACTTTACACCTCTGCTGCCAACTAGTGTTTTGGAGGTGTAACTGCAGAGTGATACAGACACCACCACACAAGTAAAAATGCTCACATCGGCTACGGCGTAGGCTTTGCTTAGAGCTGACGCACAAGTATAAATCCCGCTTAACTTTGACATGGGTTCTTTTCACATGGTGAGTGGACTCTCACAGTCACTGCCACCATCACCTCCTACTCAGATAGAGATGAAATGGTTTGTTGACAGTTGCGATGGAAACATTCAGTAGCATTATGTTCTTGTTTACCACATGAATAACAAAAAATGTGCACCAGTAAGCTTGCAGTAGTAAATTGTTGATGTGTTGGTGAAGCTGAACAAAGTGATTGTACTTGTCTTCTCCATCTCCATAACTGAAAAATCAGCAGACTCTTGTTTCACCAGTTGTGGCTTCATCAGCTGGTCAGTAATCTCATGGAAGCTGAGATTATGTAGCTGAATCAGTGCGTGCTGGTTGGCGGGCGTGAACACGAGATGAGCACCAACATTACTAACTGACAAGAGCGACTCTCGTTCGCTGTACTCGTGTCTCACGACCCACCAGCTCATAGAAATGATTAGTGGGTGGTCAGTGCTCGCCGAATGGAAAGCTCCAAATACCTCTAGTACACTATATCTGGTTTAGTTTTGCTTTTGACTCCTACAAACCTTGTGTCCTGGCTGACTGTCTGCAACAGATGGAAGTGAGACGCTCTGCTGCTTGAGCGGGGTGCTTGCGTTAAAAAAAAAAAAAAAAAAAAAAAACCTTCTTTCTTTCTCTTTCTGTTGGTCTGGTGGTTTTGTTCTGTCGATCCAAAGCTGTGTAGTTATCAATTGATTGATTGACTGACTGTGTAGTTTGTATCAGAAACACAAGGTGCATCCAAGTCAAACTCTTTCCAGTTTGACGACTGTATGTTCTCTCAAGCTAGCTCCACATATTATGCATGGATCCAGTTGAAGCTTTTTTTATGTATGTTATTGTATATCACACTTTAAAAAAATACATTTCATGTATGTTATTATAAATGATTTTTATGTATGTAGAGAAAAAAAAAATCTCAGGGAACGTTTCACAGATGTGGATTAACTCAGTCTTGTTTTAATTTGCAGTTTTACAGTTCATTATGCGACGTACGGTTAAATCGGGAAACCCAGGAGACAAAACATGCATTTTATTAATTGAATAATAAAAACAAAGAAGAATGGCGATAAATATTCCGTCTTTAAAGGCCGGAGTGGAGCAAAATTGCGATGCGAGATTGCGATGCGAGAAAAGTGACTGGAGGGAGATTCCCGACAGGAAAATAGTTCAGTGACTGAGGATAATCCATGTCTGGAGAACCTTCCCAGCATTGTGTATTTGTGTCTTTCTCCCCAGTTATATGAAGCTGTGTTAACTGTATGATTACTGTATGGACAATGTGTTTACTGAACTTCATCCAACTTGCTTTACTTTAATGTTCAGTTTCATTCATTTCTCTGCAGTCAGATTAATGACTTTCCCCCCCGCTCTTCTGTGGCAGCGTTCAAATTTTCAAATTATTCAAGTTATATTGGACAGAGAGCTCTTTCTGTTGAAATTGGGGTAAAATTTAGATTGCAGATTAGCGTTAGCTGCAAAATTATTAAGTATCTGAACG